TCTTTGATATCAAGAAGTTTTATTCTGATTGTTTCTTCATTTTCTTCTTTTTCTTTTGTTACTTTAGATTTAGAAGCAGATTTTACTGATAGTTTAGAACGCAAAGGTTGGAGCTTGATAGAAGAATCTTTTATTTCATGGTTATATGTTTCATTTGTTGACTTTAGCTCTTTTAATTGACTTTCAAGAGTTAACCGTTCTTGAAGTTTACTTTGTAAAAAAAGCTATTAGATAAAATATAAATGAAAAACAGCTATAATAATGTACATATATAAATACATACACACATATTAGGCCTTGTTTTAAATAAAAAAAGTGCTTAATGCATTAGATTAACGGGATATTTGACGTCATAAATCTTAATTTACGTGATTATTTGACGTCATTACGTGATATTTGATGTCAAAAATCTTTATATTTTTTTTATTGACATTAAGTGTTTTAACTACTGCAATAAATAACCGCTAACTAGTTCAATTTAACAATTAACTCAAATAACTATAAACATTTTAAATGTAAATATTGTAAAAATTTAAATAACTATAAACGCTTTAAATGTAAATAAAATATAAAGTATATTATGAAAATTTTGTTATGTTTTCAATTGTTATTTTAATATTGATTTTAGTTCAATATTATTTTGTAAAAAATATATATATATATTTTATTTATTTCTGAAATTTGTTTTTGAATAATTATTGTATTTAAATCGTTTTAATGATTTTTTATTTTTAAAAAATTCGGAAGTAAACAAAAAAAATTAACATATTGATAAACAAAAACCCTTGTTAATTATTTAAACAGTGATTTATTTTGACTAGCAAAGAATAATTTAGGTTTTTAAGTATTTTTTAAATTTATTGTGCTTAGCGTTTTAACTTGCGTTGTATAATATAAAAAAGTATCTTGTCTGCTTTAAGCATATTTTTGATATGTAATTTAAAACTAGAACTTGTTTGCCAGGAACTTAATTAATGTTTTATGTTATCATAAAAATGTTTTATATTGTAAACAAATCACAAAGACACAGAGCTATAGAGAAAAATCTTTTTTAATAATTAATTTTTTTTTTTTTTTTTTGAATTTCATGAAATTAAAAAAAATATAAAAACTAAATATAAAAGTCCTTATTATGCAAACTCATTCTTTAACTTTTAAAACAAAAAACTTTTTTAATGCTTCTACGCAATACTTGAATCGTGCAATATTAAAAAAAAATACTCAAATAAAACAAAATAAGTATATTTAATAATTGAATCATAATTAAATATAATAAACGTTTGTTAAAATTTGTTCATTAAAAATTAAGTTCCTTAACTTATAAACAAACGCAAAAGTAGTTTCATTCTATTTATAATTACAAAACTCTTTATTTTTTTGTTTGTAAGCAATTTAGTTTAGAATAATAAAATAAAAAAAGAATAAATATGATGTAATCTTTGTCAAGAACAAAAATAATTTATTTATTGAACAATATTTTTATTTTTATTTATATACCAACTTAAATAAAATATACCAATGTGTTAAAATATTTTAACATGACTTGCGTCATTTATAAACTGTAGGGCAGCTGCCCATACGGCACCATTGGTTTTAGATAATATTTTATTTTAATGAAGATCACATAACTTACATTTGATTTTAATAACTTAAGTCTTCTCTTTTTCTGTGGTAGTTTTAATTCGAAAAGCATCGGCAAAGTCCAAGGATTTAAAAGTTTTCAAAGTAAAACTTTGAAAAAGTTTTACTCCATCCAGGACGTTGTGTTCCACAGAGCATTATTGTAAATGTAACAGGGTAGGCCTTAAGAAGCGTGATTATTTATTTTTATTATTTTTATGACTTCAAGTGCAAAAATGGCTCCCAACAGTCTTGGAACTAAAAAAGAAAATTATTGGCGATTACATAAGCAGAATGTCACAAAAAAGTATTTGTGATAAATATCGCGTTAATAAAATCAAGATTATGTTCCAAATATCGTTCTACGGGAAAGTTGGCAGCAGATAACAAAGGTGGAAGACCACGTTCCACCACTTCTAGAGAGGATTATATGATCATCAGATCCGTCAAGAAGGATCCCTGGATATGATCAGTTGAGATACAAAAGCAATTAGAGCTGCTGGTATCGAACCGAACAATCAGATGACATGCTGTTGAAGCCGGATTGTTTTCTCCGTGCCCTGCAAAGAAACCGCTGATTTCACAAAAGAACCAGAAGAAAAGACTCCTGTTTGCTACATCTCATATTGACTGGAATGTGCAGAAATAGCAAACTGTCCTGTTCAGTGATGAATCGAAGTTCAACATCATTGGGAGCGATGGCATTTGCCGTGTATGTCGACCAGTCAGAAAACGCCTTGATTTACGTTACTGCCATAAGACTGTGAAGCATGTTGGAGGCAATGTAATGGTCTGGGGGTTTTTTTCTGCTAACTGTCTAGGTCCAATATATTGAATTGATGGAATAATGGACCGTTTCATGTATAAAAATATCATGAAAGATGTTATGTTACCTCATGCTGAATGGAATATGCCAATAAAATGGGTTTTTCAGCAAGACAGCGATATGAAACACACTGCAAAAGTAGTCCAGCAGTGGTTTCAAGACAACCACCTATCGGTGATGGATTGGCCGCCTCACTATCCGGATCTCAACCCTTTCAAGAAACTATGGGAGATCGTCAACCACAGAATTAATCGTGAAGGTGTTTGTAATAAGGATCAACTGTTTGAACAAATCGAAAAAGGCCCGGGCAGCGATTCCACAAAGTTTCATTAATCACCTGATCGAATCTATGCCTCGAAGATGCAAGGCTGTGATCGACAACAAAGAATTTGCCATAAAATATTGATAGCGAAATACAGCTTGGTCAACATTTTATGGAGTTGCACTTTTCGTGGACAAATAATGAACATTGTGATGAATAAAACTTGAAGAACGTTGTCTCTAAACAGTTACATAGTTATTTTTTTAAATTGAAAAAATGCAGCAATTTTATATAAAGAAACTAAATTAGCATTATTTGGTTTCACTTGTTTTGTCCGATACTGTAACTTGATTTATGGAAGAAAAAAAAACAAAACTTATTGAACTGCACGCAGAAGAAATTTAACAAATTGTCTTCATTCAAAAATTGCGAGCAACAGGTAATTTTTTTTTCTTCTATCCCCCTGCATAACTTAAAGGTTAAGGTACATTTAACTAAGAAGGAAAGCAAAGAGTAACACTTTATGAAGGAGTAATTTTTAGTACAATAAAAATAGATTGTTCATTCATTGGCACATTTTTTTTAATATCTTGAAAAAAATGTGAATCCTTAAACTACAAATTTTTTGTAAATGTTTTTAATAAAAATTCAGTAAAAAACTCTAAAAAATCTATATTGCAAAAAACATTTATATTCTGTATTAATAAATTTGGAATATAGATTTTTTAAAGTTTTTTACTGAAAATTTTAAAAAAATTACTACTTTTTATTAAAAACCTTTGCAAAAAATTTGTAGTTGAGAATTGACAAACTTTTTTCATGTTACTAAGTATTTAGATAAAAAGTTTAGCGTAAAATTAATTGCTATAAAAAGATGAAATTATCGTGATGAAAAGTTACTACAATTATTTTTAACGTAACTTCTTTTTTGTAACAAATATTTTTTCATATCATTATTCAAAAGTTAACATGGTTTTTTTAAAAAAGAATTATTTCTTTTATGTTACCGCTAATTTGAAAGTTAAAAAATGATAAAAAGTAGCTTAACCAAAACCGCTCTACGCGTACGTAAAAATCGCTTAAGGCACATAAATAGCTCTAGGTGTAATGCTTTAAAACAAGGCCTGACATATATATATAAACTATATATATATATAAACTATATATATATATAAACTATATATATATATAAACTATATATATATATATATATATATATATATATATATATATATATATATATATATTATATATATATATATATATACACATTTATAAATATATATATATATATATATATATATATATATATATATATATATATATATTTATAAATAAATATATATATATATATATATATATATATATATATATATATATATATATATATATATATATATATATATATATAACATATAGATATATTATATATATTTTATATATATATATATATTTATTTATATATATATAATTTATATAATAAAAAAATTATATATATACACAAATTTTATATTTAAATTTTATATCAAAGTTGTTTTATTAATAAAATTTTAATAAAAAAATTTTGTGTATATGCATATGTGTATGTATGTATGTGTGTGTACATATATATATATATATATATATATATATATATATATATATATATATATATATATATATATAATATATATATATATATATATATATATATATATATATATATCTATATATATATATATATATATATATATATATATATATATATATATATATATATATATATATATATATATATATATATATATATATATATATATATATATATATTGCTTAGATGTCTTTAATTTTTACTATAAATTATAAAATTAATTTAAAAGGCCGGAAAAAGTTTAAAAACTTGAAATGCTTTTTTTAACTGGTATAATGCCTACCCAAACAAAACTCTTAGTTTTGTAATGTGAAGATGGGTGTTGTCATGAAGGATGTAAACTTTGCTATGCTCCATGCGGTTTTTAAGAGTTCAGGTGTAGCTTGTCATGCTAAGCACAATTGTGCCATAATGGTGGCATAAATATCTCCTTATAAACCAAACCAAAAAACACTTTTTTGGGGTGTAGGTAAACTTTTTTCAGTTTAAACAGTTCCTCCAGCACTTCCTGGCGTGGTTTATTTTGACTAAGCACTTCTCACCTCCAGTCATAACATGGTCAAGCCAGTTAAATGTGCAGTACAAAGACAAGAAGAGCATGCTTGCTAACCTAGCTGAATATTGTTTAGTTCATGTGGTACATCAAGCTTGAAGGTGTTTCTTATATTGTATAAGGGGTATTCCATAATAATGTAAATGCATATTGTTTAGCAGAGTACAGCTAACTTTAAATTGCTTTCAACTAGCCGGTTTGAACACTTAACTGTCTGATAAGCTGCTTTATACCCTATATATATATATATTCAAATCAAGGAAACTTTTTGAAGTTTCAAAAACTTTCTAGGAGTATAAAAATTGCTTGTTACTTTTTAGGCAACAATATTTTTTTGATAAACTTTATTTAATACCTTATATGGTATTAATAGCTATTTTAATTCAAAAAAAAAATGGCTATTAAGATCTTGAATGTTAGCAATAAAGAAATTGATGGTCAAAAATATTAGGTTTTAAAGAATAAAAATAGAGAAGTTAAACTAGAAGTATTATACCTGTCAAGGTATTATACCTTGACAATTAAAAATTTATTTTTTCCTTGAACCTTTATAAAACCCAGTTCATCTAACTAATTTAAGCCATTAATAATAAAAGCATTTTTTTATCCCTGTAGTCTATTATAAAAAAAAATCACATAAGAATTTAGAATCACAACTTATAAATATGATGCTAATAACAACATCTTTTCATTTAAAGCTATGCATCCCACGTTCCAGCCAGTGTTGCTATTTGTTATTCAAAGAAAACACATAAAACTTTGCAGAAAAAAGAAAAAACATAATAGCTTTGTGTTTTAACCACCAAGGTATAAACAAACAAAAATTATCGTTATCAATTATCTTATCAAAGTTAAGCTTGATAAGTTTGTAAAAGTTTTTAAACTCAACTAACCAGTAAGAGGCAAAGGTGTAAAACTTTTTTTCTGTAGCATTAGGTCTCTCCTACTCTAGAGCTACATTTACTTTTATCATTTTTCATTTTTCTTTTTTAACAAATCAAACAAAGTTTGATTGGCTCTCTGTTATTTAGGTGCTCAGTATGATGACTAATGATTTTCTTTTTTTTAACTGTCTCAACTAAGTATGTGGCCAAATTCAAAGACAAACAGATTAATAGTTACACAATTAAAGAGCAAATGAAGTGATCTAGAATTGTTATGGGACAAAGCTATTTAGCTTAAAAGTATATTGTTTGAAGCAATCTTGATTGCTGATTTTATATTCCTGGGTAAAATCTTTTATGAAAAAAGGTTTTAACCAGACAAAGCCAATTTAATTATTAACTTTTTATACTTTTTAGACTACCAGTAACAACAAGAAATACTTATTTTTAAAGTTCATTCATTTGTATACGCTTCTAAAGTTGATTAAAGTAGTGATGTATTTTTATTTATCTTATTTCTATTTTATTTTTTTTTAACTTTGGCATATAACAGTAAGTCATTTATCCTGTATTTGTAGAAATGTCAGTCTTCCTTCCAAGTTCTCTATGCATCTTATTTTTTCTTTATATTTTTGAAATAACCAAACACAAATCAAATTGGAATTCTTATATGTAGACTATATCTAATAAACTTGAGTAGACCATACTAAAAATTATGAAATTTACTTGAATTAATGACATTTACTTGAACTAATGACATTTACTTGAATTAATACTAAAATTAATGAAGTTTACTTGAATTAATGACATTTACTTGAATTAATGACATTTACTTGAACTAATGACATTTACTTGAATTAATACTAAAATTAATGAAGTTTACTTGGGTCAAGTTTTCCCACTCCAAATTTTTCTATTTTTTAAAACAAAAACTAATATCTAATAAAAATAATTTTTACAAGTTATGACATTTGCAGAATGATTAATAATGTTAGGAATTTGCAGATATCACTGCATTGCAACTGAAATAAAAGAAATACTACTATTTATTTAAATTACCAGTAGTACTTTACACAGTAAATTATAATATATTTAAATTTCTCATATGAATATTTGAAAAATGAAATTGTATACAACATGGAGTTGTTATTGACATTAGTTGATTTTGTCTGAGGGTTTGGCAGGAAGGCAGTGTCTTCGATAGACATCTATCACTGAAAGTAGCCCTATGACTATTTTCAGTGGTCAAAAATACATTTGTCATTTCAGGGGTCAATATTTTATTGCCAAATATAGTAAGAATATATAAAAGAAATCCATGTTATATTTTCCATAAAGAAAAAAAAAAAACCTTTTCAGCATGAAGATTATTAAATTTTGTTTCCAGTATGTTAGTTTTTTTTTGATAGTCTAAAAGAACTTGTTCTTGAAAATTTATGTTCTTTGAAAAATTACCAACTTCACTCTCAGCATCATTAACAGCATCTGCAATTGACTGTAAAGTACGGCCGGGCATTATACCAACAAGATTGATTCGTTCTCGTTCAATCTTAGTATCCAACTCTATTTTAAAATTTAAAATTGGTAACTGAGAAATTAAAAAAACAAAATAAAAAGTTGTAAAAAATTTAAACCTTTTAAATCTGATATATAGTCATTTATTTTGCTTATATCAATTTCCATTGAACGTGCCTTCTTTTCATCACCCTCGGCTATTTTAAATTTTTCATCGAGCTACATGCAAAAAAATATAATTTAACTTTTTTTTCTATAAATTATGTTATTTTCAGTAATTAATTCAATAAATAGTTAAAAAAAAGATAATATTACAAAATATATCTCAGTTGACCGTTTAAATAGGAGATAAAAATATCATTATATCTTAACATAATTACACAATTAATGTAAATAATAAAAATAGTATAAATAGAGAGATAAGTAAAGAAATAAAAAGATAATTCTTACCTCAACCAATTTATTTTTTTCATTTTCAATTTCTTTATTTAAGTTGGCTAAATTTGACTTTAACTTTGGAATTTCAATAATTAAGTTATCTAACTAAAAAAAAAAAAAAAAAATTAAATAAAATTCTATTTTTTTCAATGTTTAAAAAATGAAAATTTTTAATAGAAGTCATAAAAAAATCAAATTCTTCTTCATTCTTAAAGTTCTTTTAAAATTCTTTAAAATAAGTTTTTCATTTTCAAGACTTATTAATATTCTTAAAATACTTTTTAAAATACTTCAACTTTGTTTTCATTTTAGTTCTTGATTTAGATTTAGATTTGCTTTAATAGAAAAGATTTTCAGTAATATCTCAAAATTCATTATATGGTTCATTATATGAATGCTGATCATTAAAAAAAAAAATCTTCTAGATCTTGGACTCATTATATGTTGGTTAACAACCTCACATCAATAATATTAACATTTTGCACTGGCAAAAAAACCTCAGCAAATTAACTTTATATCAGTAAATTAAAACAATAATCTTACAGAAGCTTTTATAGGGATAAGACTTTCTAACTTCTTATGAAGATTTTTTTCTTCCTCTATAAGTTTTTCATTTTGCAATCGTTTTTTGGGAACAGATTCCAGTTTACATGAAAGCTAAATTCAAAACATAATAAATATAATGATAAAAAATTTCAATAATAAATTAAAAAAAAAAATTTTAATAAATAAAAATAAATAAAAAATACCTCTTCGATAAGATTTTTAACTTCTTTTGTATTCTTGAACTCTCTGTGACAGAGAGGGCAACCCTTTTCTTGACTATTTTCTTGTTGAAGTTTCGAAATATATTTTTGATATATCTTCTCAAAAGCTCCCATTTCAACAAGTGAGCTAAAAATAAGAAGTTTACTTTATTTAAAAAAAAACTTATATTTAAAATTTGTGTTTCCATGGCTGGATTAAACAGTAAAAATGCATTATCATTAATCCTCACCAAGACACAATTTCTCTTGGTGCACTTCTGATGCACTATCACTGATCACTTACTATTACTTACGATTACTTACTATTACTAATTTCTTGATATAGAAACCAAAACTCTTAAATAGTGTTGTTATAACCTCAATCTTAAATTTTTTTTTTGAAAAAAATGCATTACAAAAGCCAGTTCCAAGAAATGTATTAACTCTACTGTGCATGTATGTACCTATGTTTTAGTGATGTCCAGCTCTTGAAAGTTGGCATTTAGCAATGCGGATCTAGAAGTGTTTGAAGTAGAAGAAGATTTAGAAGTGATCTGATTATGATCTAGAAGTGATCTAGAAGATTCTGATTGTGAATCTAGAATTGTGATCTGAGAAGTGATCTAAAAGTGATCTGAGGTAGAACTGATCTAGAAGTGTCTGATTTTTGCCGACCTCTTTTCTAGGTTGTTATTGTCAAACCTTTGTATTAAAAATTTAACCTGATGCTAAAATTTTAAAACAGTGGACCTTAAGGTTTAAGGGCCTTATTTTATCGAATTCTAAAGACTGGATGTCACTGAAGGCTGGATGTCACTGAAGGCTAGATGTCACTGAAGGTTGGATGTCACTGATGGCTGGATGTCACTGAGCTAAAACTCAAACTTTCAAATCAAATTTCAAAAACTTCAAAATTAGAGGTTTTAACAAAAATTAAAATTTAAAACTTCATATGTTTTATTAAACTTATGAAAAAGTTTAATAAAACATATGAATGTGAAAAAAAAACATTTGGATAAAAATAAAATCTTTTTTTAAATAAGAAAAGTGTTTAAGAAATTAAAAAAAGATCTCGATTTAGGAGGCAGTAGCAAACTCAATAACAATATCACTCTCAAAGATTTTGTATAATAATTATAGCAGTATGATAAGTAATTGTATATTAAGATTTGTATATATTTTGTATAGCACTGTTACCTTACATTGTCACCAAAGACTTGACTTTGGTGACAATGTAAGGCTGCAACTGCTCCTCGAGGCTGGACTTTAGAAGATTGGAAAAAAGTGCTGTGGAGTGACGAAAGTTCATTCCAGGTCTTTTGTGGAGCAAAGAGGGTATTTTTGAAGAGAAGAAAAGGTGAGAGGTTTCATCCTGATTGCATAGCTCTAACTGTAAAACTTGGTGCTGGATTTTTACTGGTTTGGCGATGCATACCCCGACATGGAGTAGGTCAATTGTACTGTTGAAGAAGCAACATGAATCAAGACCAATACCTTCAAGTGTTAAGAAATCACATGCTTCCCAC